GGTGCGGTTTGAAATGTTTTTAAATGGGAGCTAAAGACAATTTGACCTTTCCCTTCCCCGCCCCTTGTCTGACCAGTCCCGCTGCCCTTTTTCACTTGTGGTGTCTTTCTTCAGTCATATTTCAAATGGGGTCACCTTGTCTAAGCCACCACTGCAAAAACAAACACAAAGCCACCATATTCCCCCCTCTCCTTTCTATGGCTGACATAACATTTAGACAAAAACCAAGATCTGGACCCATCTTTTCAAGGCCCCTGCACTTACAGCAACGACCAGTCCCGCTGCCCTTTTTCACTTGTGGTGTCTTTCTTCAGTCATATTTCAAATGGGGTCACCTTGTCTAAGCCACCACTGCAAAAACAAACACAAAGCCACCATATTCCCCCCTCTCCTTTCTATGGCTGACATAACATTTAGACAAAAACCAAGATCTGGACCCATCTTTTCAAGGCCCCTGCACTTACAGCAACGGTTTGGCTGATACCAGATTTAGTCAGAGAATTGGCTGCTGTTTGGCGGGAATCAATGAATGATTGATGTTGAAGACCAGGACTTTAACAGGGTTCAAAAAAGAACTGGTTAAATTCATGGAGGTTAGGTCCATGAAGCAGCGTAGAAGCCAATCACGTGGAGGCCATTGTATATTCACCTATAACCCACACACCTGAGTGTGGTTCCCTGGCCCACTTAGACCACTTACAGAAAGACTGAGCTTGCTCGATGGCCTTAGCTGAGCAGCTGCTGGTTTTTAGCTTAAGATCCAGAGGCTCATGCACTAAGCTCCTGAGGTCCCAGGTTCAGTTCTGCCTGTCATCACACATCTGCAAGACTTTTGAAGGGCTAGAACAGGAAACATATTATAAATAGAGCCCTATCAATTTCACAGTCCATTTTGCTCTATTTCACTGTCATGGGATTTTTAAAATGGTAAATTTCATTATTTTAGCTATTTAAATCTGAAATGTCAAGGTGTTGTAATTGTAGGAATCCTGACCCCCCAAAAGGTGTTATGGGAAGACCACAAGGTTATTGCAGGAGTGGATGTGGTACTGGTACACTTACTTCTACACTGCTGCTTCTGCTGCTGCTCGAGGTGGTGTTGCCTTCAGAGCTGAATGGCTGAAGAGGAGCAGCTGCTGGCCAGGAGCCCAGCTCTGAAGAAGGCAGAGCTGCCACCAGCTGCAGTGCAGCAATAAGTATGTCATGGTATGCAAGTTGCCATTCTAAGGCAAAAAAAATCAAAAAAAGACTCTAACAAGAAACTGCCGAGCTGGAGTTTATGAGCAAATTTGACACCCTGAAAAAAGGTGTAAATAGAAACATGGAGTGGCTCTCACATTACAACAGGTAATTTCTTTTTCAGGTACTCTCACTTTCTCATCACTGTTGGAGAATCCCATTCCTGGATTCTTTCACTTTTTCCTCTTTTCTTTTCAAGCATGTGAGGAAGTGACTTATATCTCACGAAAGCTCATGCCTCAATGCCCTACTAAAGTTGTTAGTCTTTAAAGTGCCTACAGACTCCTTGTTGTTTTTGCTGAAACAAACTAACTTGGTTATCTCTCTGAAACATGGTATGGTATTGTCATCCTTCTGTGCTGCTACCAGTAAAGCTGGGCCCTGAGTTAGCAGACTCCACTCTCTAGCTGCCTACCTCTGAAGGCAGCAGCTTAGAAATAAGGATGGCGTGGTATGGCATTACCACCCATACCTTTGCTTTGCTACTGGTGGGGTGCTGCCTTCAGAGCTGGATGCCTGTCCAACAGTACTGCTCTCTGGTCACTCTTTGAAGGCAGTGCAAAAGTTAGAGTAATAATGCTGATCCCCCTAAAATAACATTGTGACCCCCTTGTAACTCTTTTAGGTCAGGACCCCCAATTTGAGAAACACCAGTCTTCTCCATGAAAAATGTATAGTACAGGGTAAAAGCATATAAAAAAAGATTGCACAATCCATGACATTTTTTGTGTACATGAACTTATAGGAGCTAGATTATAAATATAGGAGCAGTTCTTCCTCAAAGGAACAATTGTTACGAATAAGTTATAATACTTATAGAGATATGGTTGGTGAGGTAATATTTTTATCAGACTAACCTCACCCACTTTGTCTCTCTAATATCCCCAGACTGACATAGCTACAACTACACTGCATACAACAATTATAACACTTAGAGTGGTTATGCATTTTATAGCTTCAGAATACTGAACAAACTAATTAACCCACTCTGATGGTTCCTGAGGTACCTAAGACAGTAAGTCACCTTTTTATCCCCTGCCTCCACCAAGAGAAAATCTCACCTGGGGCAGATGGGTGTTAGCTCCCTGACACCATCAGCTTGTGTCAGCCACTCAAGCACTCTGTTTGCACCTATGGTTGCCTTGCAAGTTAACAAGAGGTGCACTCCAGTTCCTGAGTCCCCTTGAACTGTTCCCCTGTGATATCCAGCTCATGACACTGGCTATCCCAAGGAAACCAGAGCCTCTACTCCTAAAGAAACAGTGTACCCCAGTGCAACCAACACACCTAGCATGCTTCACTGTCCCATATAGTGGCACTAGACCACTTACAGCAAGAGATAAGAACAAGTGAGCGCTATAGCCTAAGCTGAGAGTCAGCTGGCTTTATAGATCAAACTGTAGAGGTACCTACACTAAGCTCCACAGGTCCCAGATTCAAATCTGCTTGGTGGATCAAATCTCACCAGTTTACCATCTGAACCTTAAATCACCACTCCTATAAACACACAGCACTTGTGAGCACTTCTAATTAAGAAGGTTTAAGAAAGAAAGGTTCCACTAGAAAAGAGACAGTGATGGAAATAGTTACTATATAAAATTAAACCAGAAGATTTACCCAGCATTGCTTGGGTCCTTCAGGGCAGTGAGTTTGGGGATGCAGGAGTCAGGGCAGTGGCTTGGGGATGTGGGTGGTGCAGAAATCAGAGTTGGAAGGTGAGGAGGGGCTCTGGGCAGACAGACAGCGACTACTCCCCAGCGTTGGTCTGGAGAAGTGGTGGCCACACTGCCCGGCCAGCAGCTACGCTGAGGATCTCTGGATCTGTCAGGGCAAGCTTGCTTGCTGCTTCCCTATGGTGATTGTGGAGTATAACTATCGCCCATGCTTGCTGTCCCCCTGTGGTCATTTGGGAGTATAACTATCCCTGCTATCACAGCCCACCCTTCCCATTTTATGAGAGAAAATCACATTCCATGCACATCCAATTGTCCTGGAACAATGAAACTCTCACCTTGCTTTAAGTTATGATAAGAGGAATCTGCATATCAAATGTGATGGTCCTCATTCTTATTGTTTAGGAGGAGTTCTTGAACAAACAGACGGATGGACTGACAGATGCACTAACTCTCTCAAATATATAGTAGATAACACATGAACTAGGGTCTCTATTCATAAGCTTAACAGGGTAGCCGAGTTAGTCTGTACAGGATAAACTTTAAAAACAACAAGTGGTCTGGTAGCACTTTCTTTTATATTTATTCATAGTTACCTTTCTTAGCTAATATAGTAACTAGGATCCAATCTTTCTTTAAACATCACCACTCAACAAAATGTGACCTCAGCCTCACTCAATAACTGGATGCAGAGTGTCTTTCTCTACACTGTGATACTTAAATCATTCTTTAGTCTTTATTCATAGACCCATTTATTCTGTGTCTGTTACAATGCACCATTTCCCTTACACTGGTTTTGACTATTTGACTGTTTTCAATTGTCTTTGCCGGTTTTCCATTGAGTATTTTAAGGTGAGACAAGAGTGGATAATTGAACTGTGCTGTACATAATGCACTGACTTGAAAGGGGTGGCCACTGCCTCACACTTGAATAATTACTAAGACACACAGTTCCCTGGAGATTAACTTTTACTTCAAGCCAAAGTAAAACATAATTTTCAATATAGTTACATTATTCCTGAAATATTATCCATGCACACATCTTACAATGATTGTGAGTATTGATAAGTTACAATCTTTCGGCACTGACCCACATGCTACCTGTCATAGATAAATACCAGGGTGTTTCAGTATAGCAATATATTAGGTATAGTAGTGAGCTGCAAGCTCTGAGACTGGAGTTGCTTGAAAAGAACAGTGAACCCTTTGCCTCACAAGAGATTGATTTTAGAGTTAGAAAAGTGTGGAAGAGAAGTTAAGTAATTTGCCAAAGGTGACACAGAGCAAGAGTTACATATGGAGCTGAGATTAGAACACACAAAGTCCTGGTTTCTAATCCTTTTGTTCAAAGGGACCACTTGCCCACCTTTTCACAGTGACAGACCCCAGCAGACTCTCTGTGTGTGTGTATAAAATAATATAGCTGTGCAATATACTGTTAATAACAGAATGGTAGAAATAGGAAGAATGGTAGAAATGTCATATATACAGTAAAACTTCAATAGTCCGGTATCCAATTGTATGGCACTCCCGTTAGTCCGGCATCAAAATGCCAAGAGCCTAGTGGGTGAGCTTCGGCAAAAAACGAGTTACAAGGCAGCAGCGGCAGCAGCTGAATTGAGCGAAACCGGACAGGACCGAGTCAGTCTGCCAGTGGCGTTGTGTGATGCTGGACAGTGCTTGTGCTACAATAAAAACGGTTAAAAACACTTTATATATAGTGTGTGTGTGTGTGTGTGTGTATATATATATAAAAACCAGCTTATAGTACCTCCTGACAGTCCAGCATATCCGATAATCCAGCACCACCTAGGCCCAAAGGTTCCGGATTATTGGAAGTCTACTGTATATATATGACAAGTTTAATTTATTACTTTGTGGAATGGTTTGCTAATTAGATAGGACGCAGGGTACACACAGCAGGGTGTTTTTGCTTTTCAATCCTGGCCTAGCCATAATTTTTATTTATTTATATGTGTGCAGTCATCTGTATTTTGCCTTTTACTGTCTCATAAATCCATAACACTGTTCCCATTTTCCAGTTCATTATTTGCCTAAGTTTCACATTTAGCAATTGCCCCTTCTGGGGGGCAGAGGGAGGCAGTCATGGTAGACTGAGACATATGTGTTGCTCCTAATCCACAACTGTTTGTGAATCTAGGAAATTTTCCAGTCCATTTCTTTTCACAATTACATAGCAGAAGTTAGAGATAATGGAGTCCTTCAAGTTTATGGAAGCCAAGTTGGTTAGCAAGGGCCTAGAGAGGAGGGGATGATACTGAGCATTGGTAAAGGGAGGGAAATATAAGAGCAATAAAAAGGCTGATCTGAAAATCCAGAGGATGAGAACACAAGTCATGGTGAATAAGGGAGGGGCTGAGTCAGTGGCAGAGATAGGTCATCGTTTAGAAAAGGTGACAAGAAATGAATAAAAAAAATTATAGAAGAAATGAAAGAACTGGGATGAGTTAAAACTGGAATGAGTAACTCATTAGTGGCAGTAAATATCAGGATGGCATGCACAACAGAACACCATAAATAGGAACTACATTTTAAAAATCATAGGATTAATAAAGTGGAATTAAGCAACAGAATTGACTTAATATAATTATAGTGAATTCTAATTATGGCCCCATAACTGTATGCTGGTGAGCTTGCCTGCTAGAAGAGCTCAGGGCTATCTACATCTTAGGGATGCAATCACCAAGTCACAACTTTGGGCCCTTTCTTCATTAATGTTGTCCATTTACACTGTGTTATGTTAGGTAACTCTGTGTTTTGAAATATGATATGCTATTAGCCAGTAGCCACATAACATTGTATTAGATGGATGATAAAGTGTTGATAAAGAAATACACAAAAACAATTTTTTAGGGGTGGAGGAAAGAACTGACAGCTAACACTCCAGACAAAAGCATAGGGTGGCTGGAGAAGTTAGGAAAACGGATTATAGCTGACTACAGACCACAGTACATTGTTACTAAGCAACGGGACTTTAAACTCTGTGTTGAAAGACAGCAGACTGACACAACTCCTTTTCTCGCTTTGTAAGAAGGCAGTTTGCATTTACATCATTTGACTAGCCCAAGAAGTTCTGATCTTCAAGAAAAGGCTTCTTTCGAGGTATGTTATGCTTTTTTCTTCATTCAGGTCATATATTTATGCCAAGAAAGGGAGGTGTCCTTTACATGTGTATGGTATAAGGGAAATGGAGGGGGAAACAAGAAATGAACAGACTACATCCAAGTTGGAAGTAGAGTGTGAATATATAATTATCAAAGGTACTTCTGTTGCTAAATTTCATTCAATTGTGAGTTTATTACATCTTAGTACTTCTCTTCCAAGCTTAGGTCCCAAACTTTCAGCCTTCACTCAAGTGTAAACCCACTGACGCTACTCACATGAGTAAAGATATCAGCATCAGCCACAGGGATTGGAGATGTATGATGAAATAAAAGTAGATGCTTGATAAAGAAAGAAGCCTACTATATCAGAGAACGTGTCTTTTATGTATTCATCCCCTCAAGCTCATCTGAAGAAGAGGGTTTTGCCGATTAAAAAATCACGATACTATATATATATATATTTATTAGTCTGTAAGGTGCCACAGGACTACTTGCTCATTCTGAGAGAGAGAGAGAGGGAGAGATTCTATCCTCACTCCATTTCTGAACACAGAGAAAGGAGGTTGGTCCTATGTTTTTCTACTAGATTCCGCGATGTAAAATAAACAGTACTATTAATTATGTGAGTTATAGATATGGTTAAATATATCTGACTTTGTAACATGAGCAAAATAAATAGCTCTTATAATTTTTAAAAAGTTCATTTTCAAAACTTGTATTTAAAGCAGAAAAAAGTATATGCAAGTAAAGTTTAAGGTGATGCAATTGACAGAAGCCAAGAAACTCAAACTTAATCCTAGCCACCTCTTCTTCTAAATCCTGGTAATTGACATGGATCTTCTTCAACAAGCCATAATTGATGTGCATCTTGTTAACCTGACTTTTGAACTCCCTGTCTTGGATCAGTTTGTGTCACAATTTTAAAGTAATTTTGAGGCCAGATTTTCAAAGAGCACAGTGAGTGTATTTGTTAAAATTTATGGTCCTTTGTCTTGCTGCAAAAAAAACATACACTGGCATACACAGACTGTCATTTGTACATACGAAGACACATCTTTCTATCATGTTCAAATGCAAATCTTTGTGTATTCAACAGGTCAGCTTTTGTGCAGGTGCATCCTCCCTTGCATTTCATTTAGGAACAATTCTTTTTTTAAATGTGGTAAGATTAACGTTACATAACTGGAAAAAAAACAATTTCCAGTCTATTGTCTAGATCTACACTTTTTAAATACCCAGATTATTTACTCGATAAATAGCCATTTCAGTTTATCTACATCTCCACATACACATTTTAGGCCCCACTCCTACATTTATATTCACATAATAAACCAAATAAAATATTTTCTGAAGTCCTGAGTCTTTACAGATAATGTGCCACAAGGAGTTGTGGAGGCTAGTTTGGAGCAGTATGAACCTGAATGTGTCAAAGATTGATAAACTGATTTTTTAAAACTTCATATAATTTTAAACACAGCTAGAACATTTTTAAAGTAATTATGCAGCATTTTGTTGCTGTTTCTATGGCAGTGGTTACTACATTAACTGGAAAGGATTTTCAGGGTTTCGCAATGAAAAAATAATGTTACATTAATTATATTGCCACAAATACTAACACTTTTCATTCCCACTTTCTCTCGGCATAACCATGTTCCCATATTTCTAGAACAAAGGGAGAAAAATGCCATTGCCTGTAACCCTGGAGCCAGGACCTGTATATTTCTTTGACCAGGTATTTTCTTTCAGCTTTAGCATGATTGTCCCTTCCCCCTCCAGCATTTGCATGTTTAATCTGAAATATATTTTTTATTTTAGCTGATATCAAGAACGAAAGAGCGGGGCAAGAAAGGACTACCCACTGATTTCAATTCACATACCATAAATTCTCATCCCACAAGTTTTATTCCCAGGTAAGGGAGTTCATATGATCTCAGTGGCAATGCATGAGTCAGTTCCCATCAATTAGTAGTTGAGAAGAAAATTTCCAAAGGCATAAATGGGTTAAGACATCACCCAACTTCTCTGGACTCCCATTAGTGCCTTTGAAAAATCTCCCTTTGAGTTTGTGTCAATATGATGATTATTTTTAAATTAAAATATCTAATGGTTATAATTCAACTCTGCAAATGTAGGAAACCTCAGAGAAATGCACCATATGATACTTGCAATCTCTTCAGAGAAGAAAAAGACTGTTTCTTACTACAGGTTTGCATAGTTCCTAGCAGAAAGTGGTCAAAGCCTTGGCTGAGCTTTTCAGGCACTATTATAATACAAATAACAGATAATAATAATGAAGAAGACATTCCTGCCCTATGGAGCTTACACTGATATTGAAAGCAGCCTGGTGTGATGAATAGTTCAGAGGACTGAGAGCCAGGAACTCCTACATTCTAATTCCTAGTTCTGTGATTAATACACTGTGCGATCATGAACAAGTTCTTTAATCTCTCTGTGTTTCAGTTCCCCAATCTGTAAAATGGAGATAGCACTTAACTGAATTGTTGGGGTACTGTTCAAGTAGGCACTGACTTTCTGATGTGTACAGGGGTGCTCTGCCCCAGTCCCACCCACACGCAACCCGTTCTCCCAAGGCTCCAGCCCCATTCTGCCCCCTACACTGAACATGCCCTGCCCTCACTCCCGCTCTCCTTATCCTCAGCACCTCTTGCATGCTGTGGAACAGCTGATCCATGGCAGGAAGGAGGCTTTAGGAGGAAGGGGGAAGTGCTGATTGGCAGCAATGTCAGGAGGTAAGAGGTGCTAGAGGAGGGGGAAGAGCTGATAGGAGGGCTGTCAATGGGTGCTCAGCACCCACCATTTTTTTCCATGGGTGCTCTAGGACTGGAGCATTCATGGAGTTGGCATCTATAATTTTTCAGATTAATGACCTAGTACTAGGTCTTGAAACGATCTATGTGAGCTGCTGACGGCACCCCACAAAAGGTGACTGGGGTATTATCTCCACAGGTCCAGTTGCAGGAACTGGGCCTACATTAGTGCATGGCTCTTTTTGTAAAGGTAAAGCACTGCGGTGATGCATATAAACATAATAAAACATATGGAACGATTTGCTAAATATAAGAATCGTCTTTAGTCCATATCTAGCTATCAGAAAAATTATTTTAAATCAGTCCTTGCCATCCTGGATGCAATATACAGGAAGTGACGAGCACTTTCAATAGCCTGCCTTTATTATGGCACCCCTACATTAAATCAAACCAGTATAATGTCATGCCCCTTGGTGGATGTCTACAGATTCCACAAATCAAGCAAAAGTCTGCTCTGACTACGAATGACCTGAGAGATGCTCTATTTATTTAAAAAAGGTGAAATCATTTCTAATTTGCTGATGCTTAAACTAATACAGATGCTCCCTTAATTTGCCTGGCACTATTTGAATTTCATAAAGTCTCATCTGCCGTCTGATTCACTCTGAGGCAATACTCTACCAGCAGGATTCCTCAGGGGAAAGGTGTGAATATTTTGACATATGTGAATTAGTTTTTGCTGGCGGATTATTTATGCATTGTGCTTCACAGAAGTATTTGTTTTGATTTTTAAAACTGATACCATTTCCTCGAGAGAGATGGATTCACCTTTCGGGTAAACACTCCCTAGTTGTCACAAATTAATGGAAAATCTCCAGCACTGGCATGCTAATGATGTTTTTAATTTTCAAGTCACTTTATACCATGTAATTAATTTATAAAATTCTTTTTGAATGATGCTTCCATGAATTTCCTCTACCTTGCTCAGTAGTAACCTTATGGCATGCCCTATGGAATTATTGGCTAAAAGCACTAAGTTGCTAGAGTTAAACGTGAATTGCAAAGAAATAAAAGTCTTGTGCCTGTTTAAAAAAACTCTTCTACTTCTATATTTCTTTGTATTCAATCCTACAAAAGGTAGGACAGAGATTGTACAGACTGGACCTCTCAAAACCAGGACTCCCCCATCCAGCAACATCCATGGTCCAGCAAGACCACGGGTGTTCCTGGATCAGGCAATCCTGGCTGGGAGCTCCAGTCAGGGCCAGATTAAGGGGGAGGGGGCTAGCCGGGCAACTGCCTGGGGGCACCAACCTATGGGGGGGCGCCTGATTGAAGTGGTGAGGGGCGCCGCATCAGGCGCCCCCCATAGATTGCCGCCCGGAGGCGGGTCCGCGCATGCACCACGCGCCCACTGCCCAGGGCGCAAGAATGGCTCGGGCTGGCCCTGGCCCCAGTGGCAAGAGGGCTGGTGGCTCAGATCCCAGCAGGGCTGAGGCTGGGACTAGCACGAGAGCCCCAGTAGTGCAGCAGGGGCCATGGCAGCCCCAGTAGCAGAGCCAGGGACATGGCAGTTGCAGCAGCCCCAGTAGTGGAGCCAGTGCCAGGGACATGGCTGTCCCAATAGAGGGGCTGGGGCATTCCAGGCTGCTGGGGCTGCAGCAGCAGAGCAGCCTGGTGGAGGGGTGGCTGGGGCTAGCAGCGGAGAGAGAAAGTGGTCTGGGAAGCTGGTAGCAGGGGACCTCCACTGGTCCAACAAATTCCCTCCGTCAGGACTGGTCAGTTCCCAAGGGTGTCAGACCATAGAGGTCCAACCTGTAATTTCAAAAAGGCAGAAGTGAGGGAGGACTTCTTGGTTATTACATTAGAAATTCAGGTTTTGTTGGTTCTATTCTATGTAGAATAGAGAACTACTGAAATTATGACATCACAAGAATCAAGAGAGCAAAAGTTGAACAACTGAGAGGAAAAGAGATTTTTAGTCAGAGGACATATTTTTGAGAAACACCAAAGTGACTTAGGAACCTATTTGATTTCACTGAGACTGCAGCTCTTCAGCACCAAAGTCATTTTTGAAAATGGGATTCAGGCTCCTAAATCACTTTGGCATTTCAGAAAATTTTAGCCAGATCATTTAGGGTCTTGAGCAAACACTTATGCACATGACTAGCTTTAAGTATTTGAACGATTCCCATTGAAACTAACCAGACCCTAAAATCCCTAATTTTAAGCATGTCTACAGTACCACCCTAGTTCGAACTGGGGTGGTTAATGTAGTCAATCGAAGTTGCAAATGAAGCCTGGGATTTAAATATCCCGGGCTTCATTTGCATTTTGCCGGGAGCCACCATTTTTAAATCCCCGGTAGTTCGAACTCCATGCCCGCGGCTATACGCGGCACCGAGTAGGTAGTTCGAATTAGGCTTTCTAATTCGAACTACCGTTACTCCTCGTGGAATATTTAAATCCCGGGCTTCATTTGCAACTTTGATTGACTACATTAACCACCCCAATTCGAACTAGGGTGGTAGTGTAGACATACCCTTAGATTTCATGTAATTGAATAGTTGTGTAACTGCATGAAATCTTAGCAGTAACATGACTCTATATTAAAGGTAGCAGCACAGGGAAGCAGGTGGGATCCAGTTGTCCAGGGGAGCCAGTTTAAAAACCAGTTCACCACGTAGTCTGGCTGCCGGCCGCCCCATACTACTGCTTCTAATACCAGAGGCAGCAGCACGTAGTGGCAGGGGGCTCCTCAGGAGTGGGGCCGGGAGCCCACTGGTTGCTGGCCCATCCCTGGGGACTATCGAATAGTTGTGTAACTGCTAACTGTTGTGTGACAGAGGCAGCAGCATGGGATGGCAGAGGTCCCCTGGGAGCAGGGCCTACACATATCAGCTCCAGCCTGCCCCTTCACCCTCCATGCTGCTGCCTCTGTATCAGAGGCAGCAGCATGGAGGCAGATCTGGTACTCGTGAGAAGCCTGCTTAAAGCCAGCCTCTCTGATACAGATGCAGCAAGGAGGGATGTGTGTAGTCAACATGATTAACGGATAAGCCCAATTTATCAGTTAATCATGTCATCGACTACATGTTGACATCCCTACTTAAAATTAAGACCTGAATAAGTGTTTGCTGGAGTGGGGTCTGGAACTTTTTTTTTTTATTATTATGACCTATTTTCAATAAAAGATATATTTGCTAATGACTGAACACCTCTATCCCTTTCACTGAACTGTGGGAGCTCAGAATAAGTATGTTCAAAGACCTTCCACAATCATGGAAGATCAGAGATGATATTTCTATTTCTGAAGTGAAAAAAATAAAGAAAAGAGTGTATATATAAAATCTACCAGGAACCTGCAAAGCATTCCTTGGACACCCAAAGCCCAATTTAATGGAAGTAATTAAAAAGCAGAACCTTGAACTTACTTGTTATTAACTTTATTTATGAGAAGAAAATTGTTTATGAAAACCATAAGTGTGTGACAAAATAAAACTGTGCCCTTATTAATTCAGTTTGGCATCACTATGTGAAGTGACTCCTGAAATTAACATCTTTGTCTTCTGTATATTCCCTGGATATATTAGTTAACAAAAGTAATTGTTACTTAAAAGGTATCCTGTCTTTTTACCCAGCTTGCACAAATGCAGCAATCCTGGATGTAAAGGAAAACATGTGGAAGAAAATGAAGATAGTTTCTTAAAAGAGGATACAACAAGAGGAGAGAATTATCCATTTCTGCTTCAGACATCTAGCTCTTCCCTATTCAAAACTATTAGTGAAGTTCCCAGCTCAAAGTTCTCCCCAAAACCTTCAATTCTTCCAGCAGAAGAAGAAATACAGATGAGCTTGTTGGCTGAATATAAATCCATGGCTCCCACCATCTTACATGAACTCGGAGAAATATTGCACCTCTTTGCTAGCTATGACATCATTTTCCCTCAGGGAATTGTAAATCTCCTGAACTACAGCTGGAAGGAGCTCACTGAAGGTGCTGATTACAGTAAAAGGCACCAGCAGTCCCTAAAGGACAAAAGCACAAGATCAGGGAAAGGCCAAACACCAGAAGAGTGTGACAAGAAAGCACCAAGGTCTGAATATGTGGATCATGAAATGATTCAGTGTGCAAAAGGCTGGCGGAAGAAGAGTGTTTTACCTACAGATAGTGGGAAGGAAAAAAAGAATCCTGAAATGGCACCAAATAATCCTCTAGGAAACAAAGGCAAGTAGAATGCGCAACTATGTTTTGGTCTAATATTTAGGTTAAAGAATGTGGCCACCTTGGAGCTTCCAGAAAAAAAATCTTCCTGCTAGACTATGTAAGGCTATGTTATGACTCACTGAGAAATATTACTTTAGAACATTGCAAAATAGCCTTGAAGCTAAAGCTAGAGGTACAAACACTTAGTATAACAACTACAGCGAAACTAGGCATTGTTTCAAACCATTTATCAAAGCACTTACTGTTTCCCATTTCAAGGTGTGTGAGACCGCAAAGAAATATTGGGCCAAGAAAGTTCATCAATGTCACAATAAAATCAGGGCAGAGCCACTGGTCTTGGACAAGTCTTGTTAAGCTTTTCGTATGCAATTGCAGTTTTTCTACTTAAATGAGCAAACATATATTTTTTTAAAATACCCACGTGTATTCATGTTTACAAGTGCATTCTGTTTCCTTTTTTCCTCTTGTTTAGCTCCTGTTGTACAACATGATACTCATTTACCTGTCACAATCAGTTTCTCACTGTCATCAAAACTTTCTGAAGAAAAAGGTAAGGTGCTTTGCTTCTAGAAGGCTAAAATCCCAAAGTCGATAAATGTTTTAGAGGAAAGTGGTCACTTTCAGTCTCCTTGGTGTTAAGTATTTGTGAAAACCATCAGTGTGTGGTCTGTAATGTATCAACTTTAATGTAAATCACAGTGTATTAAACAAACTCTGGCTATAGATTGTTTGTCCCAGAAACATGATCTGAAGTTAAGCCCTGTTTTATTTTGTATTATTTCTCAGACTTCTTTAAAAATGTTGCTTTGTTAAAAAAAAGGGGGGGGGGTAAAAATGTTATTTTATCCACTTTCTTCCCCTTAACTCCTGTGGAGTTCATCTGGCAGCTTAGTGAAAATGACTCTGCATGGGATCTTTACATTGCTGGGCTGGACAAGGCTGAACAGGCTTGCTCAGCCTCGAGGGGAGGGAGGATCCATGAATATCTATGCAGTAGGCTGAAAAGCCCAGAGTCACTAGATATTTGGCATCATGCACTTTCCATGGGTATGTGAACATAAAGGAATTATTGTGGTGATTCAGCAAGGATTGTTGCCACCATAGAACAGCATTCTGTTCTGTTAATATGCTCCTGGGCTGACTGGATTGCTTGTTGCAGCCCAATTATTAAAATTTCTCTATGATCTCTGGAGCATTTGCCATCTTGGTTGCACCCCTTTCAGCACTTAATATATTGTTCTGCAAAGCTCCACCACAACAGTATCTACTAGGGATTTCCCAGCCCCATACTAATGCCCAACCAGTCAGTAACTCTCTGGAGCAACCAGCTTCCTCAGGGCATCCTTTCATTTTTGTGGTGAAAGAAACTTCCATTCAGTTGGTCTGTTGCTGCATGATTTCATCTCCATTTTGAAGCTTTGCAGCCATTGTTGCTAGACCCCCCAAACCACTGGGTCTCACCATCCTATGCCTGTTGTTCTGACCCAAAAGCAGCTTGTCACCTAGCTTACGTCACCATGAATGGTTCAGAGTCAAGGAAGCTGAACTTTGCCAATGAATTCCATCAGTTGTTTGGCTCGTTCTCTGGCAGTCTGTAGCTATATATATCATCCATCACCTCTGCTGGGTGCTCCAGGAGAAAATTGACTGGCTGCCCAAAGTTCAAACTTTGACCATTCATCCTGGTCCTGAGAAAATGCTATGGAAATGGTCGAGCTTATCAGGGAGCTGTGTGTATTTTACCCCTTCTCTCACAATCCCTTGAGCGCTAGTATGGCCCTTTGGAACTACACCTACAAACTAATGCTGCAGTGAGCTGAGCTAGGATCTGTGCAATAGAGACCCAGAGACCAGTGCAGCTGCAGTCATAGTGGACTCCAGATAGAAACATACCCAGAAAAGAAAGGTTCTCTAGTGACAGCCTCACTGCTGCCCATACCACTTCAGCCCATACCACTGAATCAAAGGTGTAGTTGTGGCTCACTTCTCAATGACTCCTAGCTAAAGCTTGGGGCATTATTAAAGACTTAACAGGGTGCTGCATCCAGCCCATCTGAGCAACAGCGCCAGGCCACTCAGGCTGTGGGGAAAATAAAAAGTTGCAAGAGGGCTTGGAGTTCAGATAAACTTCTCAACTGAATCTTATCTGACTCACCCAGTCCTTTGAGGCCCTCGGTCTGAGTAGATGTCTTTATTTTTCACCTAAAGGAGCGTAGAAGGCACTTTTCTTCTGCAAAGCAAATACAGGCAGTCCCCGGGTTACGTACAAGATAGGGACTATAGGTTTGTTCTTAAGTTGAATTTGTATGTAAGTCGGAACTGGCTCCAGATTCAGCCGCTGCTGAAACTGATCAGCGGCTGACTACAGGAAGCCCTAGGCAGAGTTGCCCTGCCCCCGGCTTCCTGGAATCAGCCGCTGATCAGTTTCAACAGCGGCTGAATCTGGACTCCTGGGACAGAACAGC